TCTGTGCACGCTGCTGCTACCCACTATTTACAATTAAAATTAAATTATTTATTTTTGTTTGTAGCATTCTTTTTCCACTATGTTACTTTTTTTTCACTTTTTTTTTTTTTTTTTTGTTTGCATTTTTTTCTCTTTCCCCCCTTCTGGTGGAAGTGAGCCTTCCACCTTCAAGACCCTGAAAGAAAGTGTCAGGAACCGGTGCAAATCCGGTTTAAGTTAAAGAAGACATTTAGAAGTCCAAGAGGCCAAGCAGTTTGAAGAAGTCTTAAGATTTTTTTTTCCTTCAAAGAATATATTTTTAAAGAAGCCAGGCAGTCCACGGCAAGCGACGACAGTTTTTTTTTTGCCTCTTTTATTTTAGACCGAGAGTCTTTTTCTTTTTTTCCCTTTCCTTTTTCTTTTTGCAAACAAAACAAAAAGCAGCATAGAAGAAAAAGCAAAATAAAGAAGAAGAGGAGGAAGAGAGGGCAAGAGAGGAAAGGGGGGAGAAAGCACCAACCCGGGCCGAGGAGGAGGCGCGCGGCGGCGGCGGCTCGGACCCCTTCCCGGCCCCATCAGTGCAGCTCTCCGGGCGATGCCAGAATAGATGCCGGGGCAATGTCCCGCCGCAAACAGGGCAACCCGCAGCACTTGTCCCAGAGGGAGCTCATCACGCGTAAGTGTCTGCGGCGTGCGCGCGAGGGGCCGAGGTCGGGGCTCCGGGCGCCCGCCTGGGGCTGGGGACACCGAGCCGGGCGCGGCGTGGCCGGCGGCGGCGGCGGCGGCGGCGGAGCCGGCCCGGAGCGTGGCGGGGGGCGAAGGGCCCTGGCAAAGTTTCTCCGCAGCCGGGGAGTCGCGACGCGGCGCGGCCGTTCGCGCCTCGGGCCCGGGGGCCTGCGGAGCCGGCCCGGGCCGGGGAGGGCGCGGGCTGCTGGAGGTGTGGGTGTGCGCGCCGAGCCCGGCTGGACGCTCGCCCCTCCGAGCGGCGTGTGTGGCGGCGGCGGCGCTGGTGGCGGGGAGTGGAGGGGCGGGGGAGGGGGCTGGGAGCGAGGGGGAGGGGGAGCCGGGAAGTGGGGAAAAGTTGGCGAGCGCGTGGGTCCGCGCTGACGGCGCGGGCGGAGGGGACCGGGTGCGCTCCGAGCTGGGGGAGCCGAGGTCGAGGGGTGGCCGCGGGCCGCCGGCTCCCGGTCGCTGCGCCCAGCCCGGCAGGGCGCCGGCCACGCCGGTCCTGGGATTCCGAAGCCGCCTTTCGCTCCCCTCCTCTGGCTATTTGCAAAAGAATCCAGCTGCGCGGCTGCTTGCCGGCTTCCAGCACCCCCTCCCCTCATTTCCCCACCTCCGTCTCCTGGGACCATCTTGTCTTTTTTTCCCCCACGCCAAAAGGGGGGGTGGTGGTGGGATTGGAGTTGGTGAGAAATCCACGCCACGGGTGAAAAAAGAGAATAAAGAGGTTGACCAAAGTGGGAACAGAAGGATGCGCTTGTAAAATAGTAAAAAAACCTAAAAAAGAAAAAAAGCGCGACCTATCGATCTTTTATCCTTCTCTCTCGGCATCTCATCTTCCCTGTCTGAATAAACAAGGCAGGGCGCAGTGGAAATCCACTGGATGAAACCGTGTGGGTTTCAGGCAAGCGGCAGGGCGTGCAGTCCGGCAGCGGGGCAGACACGCAGCAGCTTCCAACGCCCCGGCTGGGTTTATTTCGCAAAGCAAAAGCGAGCGCGCCCGGCCCAGGTACGGTGTTCGCGGGGCCGCCCGCCCAGGTCCCCGCGCTGTTGCACGGGGAGGTTGGCTCGCCGCTTCCTCGCCGCGCGCGGACTCGTCCTCGCCGTTCTTTCTGCCGCCAGTACCTGGGTCGCCGTTGTATTTTTTCTTTTTTCTTTCTTTCTTTTTAAAAACTGCAATAGAAATAAAACATTCTCAGTGCCTTCCAGACCGCAGGCTGATCGTATCCTGCAATCCTCCACGCACCTCGTAGGGCTGGGGCCGGCTCCCAGCGCTGGAGCTGGAGAGAAGGCTGCGCGCCCAGCCGCCGCCGAGGACTGGCTGCCGGGCGGCCCGAGAGCCGAATATTTATGTTATATTTTTAAAAATTTAAATAAATAAATAAATATATAAAGGGGTTCTCTCCTCCCCTGAAAACACAGTATAGGAGCCATCTGCTTGGGAGCAATCGCAGTTACCACCTCTCTCCTTTGTTACGGCAGATACATTAGTAAGAATTTGTGGGTTTCTTCTTATTATTTGGGGAGGGAGGAATAGATATTAAAGTGGGGTTCTAGGAGTGAGAGAGGCCTTTTTGGAGCGAGGGGAGTGCACTTTTATTTTGTGATATTGTAACATCAAAGGAGACTCGCTGGTTGCATTTAAAACAATGTTTTGCAACCAGATTTGAGCCTGGTTTGATTAAGGTCCCTTTCACCAGTTGACATTTTGTTCCTTTACCAAGCCACAGCCAGAGACCGCTCATGCCACTCTTAGATGGGGTGGCTGTGAAAGCGTCTATACTTGCAGACGCCTAATTTCTCCAGCAGGCGATTTGCCTCATGGAGCCTCTTTATAATTGCAAGGGTTGTTTTTGAGGAGGGGACAGTGGAGGGGTCGGGGAAGGGGGAGATGTTGGGGGTGCATTGCCAAGGTGGCAGCTGTGACAGGAGCCGGGAGCGGCTGCAGTTGTAAGAGGAAGGAGGCAGGTAGGTTTGATCAGCCTTAGCAGTCCCCTCTCCTGGCATCCCTAGGACATCAGGAGAAAGCTCTGGCCAGAAGCACTGGTGGCAGCTGGGCATGGGGGCGAGGGGTGCCTGCTGCAATCTCCTTCCATGCTGCGTTTGTTCCCTGCCTCTCAGCCTCGCTCTGAGCCGCTGGGAAAGCCAGCTGATACTGGAGAAGTGGCAAGGAGGGACGGAGAGAGATGCAGGAAGGGTGGTGGGGAGAACAGTAATCCTGCGGGTCTTCCAGGGGAACAGGGAGCCTGGGTTTGTGCAGGGGGTTAAGCAGGGAAGGTGGTTGAACCAGTTCTCAGACTAGGCTACTTCTTGTCCCCAGGCTGCTGGCTCTTCAGTCTGTCCTGTGAACCCCAGGAGGTGGAGGGACAAGGCAGGAGGGGGCTGCAGTTGAGGCCACAGGGCCTGGGAATGCGCCTGTCTACAAATGAGGCAGCAGCCTTGGATTTGGGGTGCTGTGGAGCCCTGGCTAGCAAAACAAGTGCTGCCTGTCACAGGCCCCATGCGGGGTTCACATTGGAGAGTTTACATGTGGATGAAGCCACCTAAATGGTGGCAGCATCTTTATCAGTTGGGTGGCAGCCTGCGGGCCTGTGGGGCAGCAGTCTTGGGTTCTTAGGGATGATGCAACTTACAATCAGCAAGACCTGGGAAACCAGGAGAGGACACAAATAGCAGCTGTGAACTGGGGGGTGGGGGTGGGGGTCGCTGCTCCATAGTGAGCTAGTTACATTTACAGACCCGGCCTGGGAGAAGAGGAGTGAGGTAGAAAGTAGGAGACAGAAAACCTGGGCTGCTGGTTTGTTTCAAAATGTTTGACCCAGCTGGATGTGGCTTCTAAAACCAAAGGACAGATACAGCTATTAATAAAAACAAGCACAAAACAACACAGTGGTAATCATGAAAGGGAAGGCAAGGCGGGCAGTGGCTGACCAGGCAGAGGGAGAACCACCAGCTCCAGGACCAGATGGGGCCGGGAGAAGGGGAAGTGCTGTCCAGCCCATGGCAGGAATTGAGGTTCCCCGGGAAAATAAGATGCCCATGGTACATGACATAACACCCAAATGGAGGCGATTTTTCAACAACCCACCAACAGGTTTCCTTGGGAGATCAGTGGATTTCCTGTATGAATTCATGATTTTGCAAAAGCAGCCGGAGACCTAGGGTTGGATGTGGAAGTTAGGGTAACTGTGTTGATTCCATGGTTGCTTCTCAAATTAGGTTTTGTAGTTGCTGTGTGTTTCCAAGGTGGCTGTGCTCACAATTACCTTAACTCCCCAGGGTCTAGTGTATCTCCAATGGTCCACTTATCTTTCAGAATTAGGCCTCCGATAAATTTCATAAGGCATAGGCCCTCTTTTTCTTTCTCTTTCTGGTAGTTGGTGGGGGCAGTGAAGTTTGACTCCCTTCTGCACGGAAGGGAACCCCATATCATTAGAAGTGTGATATGTCAGCTGCTCCGATTCCACGGGAGAATAAAAATGTGTTCATCAAAGGTGTTATGCCAGGCTGATTTTATTCATTTGTAATTCACACCTGAGAGAAAACAGCCGCAAGCATATTTTCACAACCCCTAATATTTTTAAAGGGTATTTTTTCCCTACCTGAAGATTTGTACATATGCATATTTGTTTTTTGGAGAGGGGAGGAGGTTGCTATCTGCCTGTGTCACGGCCTTGGCGATTTTTGTCTGGCTGTCAAAATATTTAGTGATAGAAAATGATTTCAACGGTCCTGGGTGAATTCAGTTGCTTCTTAGAACCATGGGGTGGGGCCGGGGTTAAAGTGCTGGGGGAGATGCCCAGGTGTTCACCGTGCCGGGCTGACCAAAGGGAAGGCCAACCTTGGGTGCATCTGACAATAATTAGAAGGATGTCTCAGGTGACGCGGGGATGCAGTTCGGTCCCAAATCCCAGGTTCCAACTGCTGTCCTTGCTAGAGCCGAACCAGAACCGAGCTCCTGCACCGTCTGGTGGTTTGGAATCGGCTTGAGCCTGCCTTCACGCACACCCTTTGCATCTCCTATCTCGATGGCTTTATGTTCCCCGGCGGCTGCTAGCTGTGATAAAATACTTTCCAAAATAAACTTTCCGTGGCCTTGGCTGGGGTGGCTGGCCAGCCTGCAGCGCAGCGCGCCGGGCGCGCCGGGCGCTAGGGGGAGCTCGGTGCCCGTGTCTTGCGAGCCGGCGCCTGGCTCGGTGGCTGGGAGCCGCGTCCATCAGCCGCGCGGCAGTTTACGGTGCTGCAAAATGTCTTAAGTGTGAAGTTGTAATATTGATTTTCCTGCAGAGATTCGTGCCGGACAGAATGAGAATATAAGTTTGAGAAATCTATTTTCAAGCCATCGCCATTGATTTACAAGCCCTCACTTGGCAGACGGGGGGTGGGGGGCATTTTCTTTTTTTTTAATTTCCTCTTTCTCTTCTTCCTATTTTTGTTTTTTTTAACAATTAAAATGGTTCGTTTGGAATGAGTGTGTTCTCTCCGATTTGTCTGTGGTCTTGGCCTTCTGAAAATTACCTTCTGCTGTGAAAGCACGTGTGAGCCCCGGCCTGGGGTCTGGAGGAATGTGTGTCCTGAGGGTAAGGCAACTGTCCCTCCGTGTGTCGCATGTCGTAGACCTAGGGAACATCGAGAATCACTGCTTCGGGGAGCTGTATACCAGAGCAGCTTGATGAATGGAAATCCTTTGAGCTCAGATTTTATAACACTTGGCTTCTCAATCCCTCATATTAGGTAATGTTCCCACTGTGCTAAGGGAAACAGCAGTGTTCCCTAAAGATATAAAATGCTAACTCAAATAACCTGTAAAACTTTGTCTGCAAGGAGTGTGTGCTTGCTAGAGTCGGACTTGGTAATGCCTTTGGCCCAGGACGGTACCCTTCGTGGATGACATTTAAAGAGACCATTTCTCTCCTAAACATTGTCATTTGGTGTGGAGAGTATGGGTACTTT